ACTGGTTACCGGAAATTTCATCGACGGAATTTTGATCGAGCGGAAATTTGGTCGAATCTTTCTTTCAGTTCATACGTTAAAATGTTGCGTTTATTTTCTTTTTGAGCGCATTATTTTGTTTTGCTATAAATATAAGAATAAGCTACGCTGACATAACGCTAAAGAACCGAAAATATTTAAATACGTTCGGATTCTTAAAACGATCATAGTTATAGTTTCTATTATTTTACGGAAATCGAAAAAATTAAAATTTGCAAAGAAAAAAATATATTATGAATCCCCTTTAATGTGTATAAAAGTTTAAGTATTATTATTATAAATTACAAATCTGTTTAAAGTAACAAGTAAGGAACTATCTTAAAAATTTTAGATGTTTTTGAAAGTTATAAAAAAAAATTTTTTTAAACAAATATTTTCAAAGAATTACACCAAAATCACATTTATCGGGAAAAGCCAAACATCAGTTGCTTTTAGTGGATTTATTAGTCTGTTGGTAATATTGCGAAATAAAATTTAAATTATTTTTTTCTTAATAAACACGCAAATGATGTCATAACGCGAATCGCCTATTTTAACCAAAACTCTAAATTTTCTTTGATTTAATAACGCCGCGTTTCACAACTGATGTTTTTTCCCCTTCGTAAAAGGAAAATTAATAAATATAATTGATAGCTTTATAAATTGTTAACAAAATACACACAAATTTTAGCTTTGTATTTTTAACACTTAATAAGTTTTAACTTTTATAAATTTCAAAAATACACTTTTATTAAATTAATAAAATTATAAAAACTTAACCTTTAAATATAATTCTAATAAGAAAATGACGTTAAAGTCAATTAGTGCGGCGAAACTCCATAGCCAAATAGCACTCACTAATACACTTATTATAAGTCATCTAAATAAGAACAAAACATATGAAGTACAAAATATATTAGTTTTGGTATAGAAGTCAGGTGGAGGATTTTATTAATGTTATTTAAATCTGGTGGGGGGGGGGGGGGGGGGGGGGGGGGGCTGGGGGGTTGGGCTGGGATTGGTCATTTTGTCCCAGGCAGCACAAGATAACAAAAGAATGAATTTGATGAATAATTAACCTTCTTTGGTACATACGTATCGGAGGTAGCAAATAGCTAGGATCTGTACATTAATTTTACATGGATGACCATATATTTACATCCTATGGTATTACATATGTGAAAAAAGAGATGTTACATTCTCTTTTTATAAATATGGGTATGTTTATTTTGGCCAAGGCAATACAAGATACTTCTCAAAATAAAGGAATAAATTCGATAAATATTTAACCTTCTTGAGTGCATACATATCGGGGGGGGGGGTAGGAAATAGGATATGTACATTTTTACGTGGATGACAATATATTTAAATCCTATGGTGTTATCTTTGTGAAAAAAAGATGATATATTCTAATTTTTAAAAAAATAAACATATGTTTACCAATTAAGAAAATCAATGGCGTTAACAAATAGTGGGTACATTCACATAAGTCTACCCATGAATATCAAAATCCAATCATTTTACACACTTGAAAAATTAATTTTGAGAAATGTTAATATTTCCTTTCAAATAAATGGAAATACATTTTTGTTTTTACTTTGCGAAAAGTAAAGAAGTAGGTGAAGTGGGTGAAGTAGGTGAAGTAGGTGAAGTAGGTAAAGTAGGTGAAGTGGGTGAAGTAGGTGAAGTAGGTGAAGTAGGTGAAGTGGGTGAAGTAGGTGAAGTAGGTGAAGTAGGTGAAGTAGGTGAAGTGGGTGAAGTAGGTGAAGTGGGTGAAGTAGGTGAAGTGGGTGAAGTGGGTGAAGTAGGTGAAGTGGGTGAAGTGGGTGAAGTAGGTGAAGTAGGTGAAGTAGGTGAAGTGGGTGAAGTAGGTGAAGTGGGTGAAGTGGGTGAAGTAGGTGAAGTGGGTGAAGTAGGTGAAGTGGGTGAAGTAGGTGAAGTGGGTGAAGTAGGTGAAGTAGGTGAAGTAGGTGAAGTGGGTGAAGTAGGTGAAGTGGGTGAAGTAGGTGAAGTAGGTGAAGTAGGTGAAGTGGGTGAAGTAGGTGAAGTAGGTGAAGTAGGTGAAGTGGGTGAAGTAGGTGAAGTGGGTGAAGTAGGTGAAGTGGGTGAAGTAGGTGAAGTGGGTGAAGTAGGTGAAGTGGGTGAAGTAGGTGAAGTAGGTGAAGTAGGTGAAGTAGGTGAAGTGGGTGAAGTAGGTGAAGTGGGTGAAGTAGGTGAAGTAGGTGAAGTAGGTGAAGTAGGTGAAGTGGGTGAAGTAGGTGAAGTGGGTGAAGTAGGTGAAGTGGGTGAAGTAGGGGAAGTGGGTGAAGTAGGTGAAGTGGGTGAAGTAGGTGAAGTGGGTGAAGTAGGTGAAGTGGGTGAAGTAGGTGAAGTGGGTGAAGTAGGTGAAGTGGGTGAAGTAGGTGAAGTAGGTGAAGTGGGTGAAGTAGGTGAAGTGGGTGAAGTAGGTGAAGTGGGTGAAGTAGGTGAAGTGGGTGAAGTAGGTGAAGTAGGTGAAGTGGGTGAAGTAGGTGAAGTAGGTGAAGTGGGTGAAGTAGGTGAAGTGGGTGAAGTAGGTGAAGTAGGTGAAGTAGGTGAAGTGGGTGAAGTAGGTGAAGTGGGTGAAGTAGGTGAAGTGGGTGAAGTAGGTGAAGTAGGTGAAGTGGGTGAAGTAGGTGAAGTGGGTGAAGTAGGTGAAGCAGGTGAAGTAGGTGAAGTGGGTGAAGTAGGTGAAGTGGGTGAAGTAGGTGAAGTGGGTGAAGTAGGTGCATATTTTGATGAGATGAACAATTAAAATTAAAGAAAGAAGCTCAAGTCTGTTCTGTGCTTGAAACACGATTTCGAGATTCTTCTTTAGATAAAATAATATTCTTGTTCTACAATTTTTTTTGATAATGTATAATTAAGAAACAAGGCCAAGTTTTTAACTTTCTGATGAAGATATTAATATATCAAATTCTTTGAATACAAAATATGTTTATATCACATAGAGAGTTTTTGTTGTAAATTTAGGAGTATGTTTTCACAATTTTTAGAGCAAAAACGTTAGGGTTCAACGGCAGGAAAGGGGTAAATCTAAATTCTTTCTCTAGCGTAGAAATCGTCCCTCTTTAGTGAAAAAATGTATCTATATTTAATTATAATTTAGATCAGGTCATTTAAAGGTCATGTTTAGAGGGGAAAAAAAGTAGTTTAGGAGCGTGAAATGTAGTAGGGTAGGCGCATAATCAATGGCAGATACATACCTATCAAAACTGAATGATGTTAGAAACAAGAATATGAATTACATATACACTTCCTTTTAAAGCTAAGAATTGTGATGAGTTTTTGCAATAACAGAAAGAAATTATCGCAAAAGACTTACCATTATTATCCCGATAGTCTTGTGCTTTAAAAAAGAAAATTAACGAAAATTGTAACGTGTGAACTGGAAAAAGATGCAACCAAATTTCCGTCGACGAAATTTCATTCCAGCAAATTGCTGGATAAGGTCAGTACTCATTTATTCATCGATCCTTTTCGTATCAATAAAAGGGAAAAAAATAATTGTTGACAGAAGTTATTGAAGTTACCAAAGTTATACACTCATTTCAAAGCTAGAACACAGAGACAGAAGTTGAAATTTAAAATGTTAAAAATTCAAATTTTAATCACTGATGGGAAGGGACGCACATAGAGCAAATAGCAGCTATGCACAGGGCCGTATATAGATATGATGTCATCTATAGATATGATGTCATCTATTGATGTGCTATCATCTATTGACAGCGGAGTATGTATAGAAAATGTCACCCATTACTCTTTCTGACTGGTTACCCTGGTAAAGCACAAGGCATTTCTTAACTATCTGAAAATGCATGTCGGATTTGAGTGTGAAAGGAGGTGTCTATGTGGATGTGTGAGGGAGAGTGGGTTTGTGGGGGGTCCGTGTGGGTGTGTGAGGGGGGGGGTCCTTCATGCAAAAGTATTTGAAACTTATTTGACATCTTTTCTTGGCACTTTCAGCTACAGATATATTTGTGTGAAAGGAGGTGTCTATGTTGATGTGTGAGGGAGAGTGGGTTTGTGGGGGGTCCGTGTGGGTGTGTGAGGGGGGGGGTCCTTCATGCAAAAGTATTTGAAACTTATTTGACATCTTTTCTTGGCACTTTCAGCTACAGATATATTATCACAAGTAGTCACAATTAGCTACACATGGAGTATCACAACCAGCTACACATAAGAGTATCACAACTAGCTACGCCTAGAGTATCACAATTAGCTACACATAGAGCATCCCAACTAGTTAATCATATAGTATCACAACTAGCTTCACATAGAGTATCATACCTAGCTTCACAAAGAGTATCACAACGAGCTCCACACCGTTCCATGGATGTGAACAGTGAATAGTGTGGAGAGTCGGACCCGACGGCGCCTGACGTAATCCGTCTGACCACCCAAGCTTGTGGAGAGTCGGACCACGCTCGAGCGCCGGACCACGACGGCGCCTGACGTAATCCGTCTGACCGAAGGATCAAGCTTGTGGAGCACGACAGACCCAAGGATCAAACGCCTGACCAATTACGGCCGTCTGACACCCAGACACGACCATCCATCTGACCAGGGCATTTACCTGGGACGTCTAGACCGATAATTGAGAAAAAGGGGGCGGGGTATAATCTGGACTGGGAGAGGAACTATGGGACGAGGAGGTATAAATAGGGAAGAAGGCGGACGGACTAGGAACGGGAGAGAGGGAGAAGTCAGAGTTGTGAGACGAGTGAAGGTGTAAGCAAGTGACAGCCAATAAAGAACACGTGTTTAATCATCAAATGTATCACCGGAGTTGTTTCCTTATTGAGTACCAGATCTAGATGAAGTTTGTCAGATAGTAAGCAAGGTTTCCTTACAATAGATTACAATAACAATTAATGCCAAATTATCCCATTTAGCCCTTTGTTTAAAACCCATCTAAACTTTTTTCCTAGTTTTTTTCTTCTTCTTTTTTTCAGCATTACGGATTCACATGAGCCATTCAGCCAAAGAAAGTCTACAAAGTTTCTCTGGATACCACATAGAGTACCGGGGAGAAATCGAGGTCAAGGGCAAAGGCAAGATGCAGACCTACTTCCTCACAGGAAGTGACAACTTCTACAAGATTCTTCCCAACCCTGATATCTACACAGAACATTCCCCTAAGATGGCCACACGAAATGTAACATCCGTTCCCAATGTCGAAAACTTGAGAGATTCATCCCCAACAGATACGTCCCAACTAAAGGTCTCAGAGAGTTTTTTGCTAACCAAGCCAGAGCTGGCGCTCATCCAGGACATAAAGACGTACAGGGCGAAACTCCGTCGTTCAGACAGCGTGAGAAGCAGAGAGAACATTTACTCACGGCAGTCGTTCACAGAACACTTCAGGAGACGATGCAGTGCCGATGAGGGCGAGAGGCCATACCGCGTCAATGTCATTTCCGGGTCTGAGCTGACATCAGATCACCGGTCCGGGGACTGTTCTGACGTCATTGAAACCACTCTCGAGGGCCGTGGTGAGACGAACTCTTCTTCAAAACCTAATTCTTTAGAAGGCAGTGGCCTTGAAAAGTCGCGTGAGGCATTGGGAACAAAAGAAAGAAAAGGGCAAGGTCAAACGTCTGACCTCGACGACCATAGAACCGTGACGGGCAAAGACGCACACAGTTTGGAATCGCCCCATCTCCCTGCTTTAAACCCAGACGAAAGTATATCCAACGGACAAATCATTAAATCGTGTTTAAAGACGGGCAAACACGAAAATGCCCGAATCGGCCGAATAGACCGGAGGCTGTCGGTAGAGTTCGCCATTCAAGATGACCAGATGGATTATCTCTTCGGTCCTAAGTCACCGGACTGCAACAACTCGAACCTCGGCGGTAAAAGTGAAAGCGCACCTCGCCCTCTGGAAATGACGGCGAATATATTCGAGCCAATCAGGAACGGGCTGAAGTCCTTGGAGGAGAAGTTCATCCAATCACATTCGGCGCATAAACCTGGAGACGTCCTCAGGATTGGTCAGCCGAAGCTGGAGAACACGGAGCACCGGAACTCTCCGGTGAGTTCGAGGTCGTCGTCTCCCAAACCCGATTTCGGCTTGTTAAAGGAGCAGGTGGCCACCAGAATAAACAAAGCAAGAGAGACGACGTCATTTTGAGGCCTTGATAACTACAACTTTGGCAGATCGAGGCCACACAGTGCAAGGCTCTATATTAACATTCGGATAGTGCAAATGGTAGATATCACGTGGGACAGACATGGGCGTGTCGTGGTGTGTAAAAATTGTGGGGAGAGTCTGTAGGTCTCTGGTAATCATGAAGCTATAACGCTAACGCCGTTGTCAATCGGAGAGCCATCCCACCCTGCCCCACGCCCCACTGTCATTTGATAACAATTTGATTGAACAGACATCACCTAATGACAGGCATGGGCATGTCTCGAGAGCTAGAAAAGGGAAAAGGTGTGGAGGGACTGGATTGATCTGGAAAAAAGGGTTTTTGTAAATTCTAAAAATATAAGTCAATCGGTAGACATCCAAACGTGCCAGTGGCACAAGTGATTGGAGGTGAATGGAAGAAAAGACAACACACTCTGTGCTAATTGTTAGATATGAAACAGTGCACATGTCATGTGTTAGATGTGGAGCAGTACACGTGCTATTTGTTAGATGTGGAACACTACATATTATTTGTTAGATATGAAACAGTACACATGTCATGTGTAAGATGTGGAGCAGTACACATGCTGTTTGTTAGATATGGCATAATATATGTTATTTTTTATATATGGAACAGTAAATGTTATTTGTTAGACATGGAACGGTACACATGTTATTTGTTACATATGGAACAGTACACATCTTATTTGATGGACGTGGAACAGTGCACATGTTATTTGTCAGATATGGAACAGTGCATATGTTATTTATTATATATGGAACAGTACAAATTTTATTTATACATTTTCGTTGTTTTAATTATAAGTTAGTGTATGTTCTTTATTTATTATATAAGAGTTCAGCTTTACACCATTTATGTTAATATTTATGCTCATATTTCCTGCATGTCATGCATTTTATTTCTTCTATCTTTCTTTCTGTCATTAATTATTTCTATGTCTTCTCTACTTTCTCTGTCCCTTTCTCACTCTTTTGCGCTCCCTCTTTCTCTCTCTTTCTCTCTCTCTATTTTCTCCCTTTCTCCTTTTCTCTCTCTCTATGTCCTCTCTCCCGGTCGAGCGCTCTCTCTCCCTCCCTCTCTATCCTTTATCCTTTCTCTCTCACTCCTTCTCCCTCTCCCTTTCTCTCCCCCTTCTATCCTCCGTTCTCTCTCTACCTCTCCCAATATCTTACTTTCCTCTCTCTCCCCCCCTCTATGTCTCTCTCCCTCCCTCTATGTCTCTCTCCCCCCCTCTATGTCTCTCTCCCTCCCTCTATGTCTCTCTCCCTCCCTCTATGTCTCTCTC